GACTTAAGGAGGTAGTAGTTGTTTTTTTGTATTATACACATGGGTTCACTCCACTAGATCCTGTATAGCCATTTCTCAAAATTATGTATTAAAGGTAAACAAGGTTGCAATCCAATGTTATTTATAGTGATTCTTATATTTCATTTGGAAGTGCATACAATTAGTTATTGTGGTGGATCTAATCCCTCAAGAGGTAAGAAAGGTTCAAGAATGGAGCTCACTTAGAGGTGATCAACATGAATTATTCAGTCTAAACTGAAAAACTAGTTGTTCCAGTCTATATTGTGAATGCTTTTGATTCCATCTCTCTTGCCAAGGTGATTAAGATTTTTTAATCATAATAGTTAATCTAGACCATCCAAACTAGACAGTTGAATTAGTATATAAATTAGAATATGCTCAAAGCCCCAACTTACTAGCATTGAATTGAGTGACCTTCCAAAAATTTGGAATTCAAGAACTTACATTTGGTATTAGAGAGGTTTTGGATTTGACTCAATTAATTCTTCATCCTGGATAATCTTGATATTAGAGAGATTTAAATATGGGATGTGTGCTTTATGTTCCTACAAAATTCTAGAGTTCATTGGATTCTAGATGGATAGATGATATTTTCTCATTTAAAAATATTGTTAAAATAAAATAATAATTATATTATATATTTAGATATTTTGTCTTTTATTTATTACTCTCAAAAGCTCTACATCCATTATTAGAAAAAATAATTTTTATTTAAAAAACTCCTGTCAAAAATGAGCTTTTATTTGCAAACTTATATATTTTAAAAACTATAATACATTTAAATATTTGTTATATATTATTTATGAATTAGCATTTTATAACAATGTTATACATAATCTTTGAAGGTAAACTAAGACAAAGACACATTATAAAATTTGATAAGAAAACTAAAATAGAATTATAAATAAAACTTGAGGATATATTGATTAAGGATTAAGCCTTTGTTTATATACAAAACTAAATAGATCAGATTCAATTTTAATTGAACAGTTTATATATTATAATAGTATAGTTAGTGTATTACTATATAAACAACTAAAAAGAATGACTTAAAAGATGATCCATGGGGTTTAAATATAAAGGGAAAGGGCCTATGAATAAGATTACATTTTTTTCCAATTGGTCAGATACTTAGAGTTTTATTTATTAAACTTTTATTACAATTGTTTTTAATGTAAAAATGTCAATTTTTCATTAAATAAACTCAAGAGTGCAATTATAGATTATAAATTTAAAAATATCCATTTAGTAAGTCACATAATGTGTATAGACTATGTGTTGTAACTTGAATGTATATGAATATCATTTATTATTTTTGAACATATAAACCATTAGAAAGAAAATAAAAAATAAACATAGTTATTAGAAACTGCCATTGTTTCATATTAAATATCAATAAATATTTATGTAAACAATGTTTCTGGGAGGAAACCAAGAAGAAACCATTCCAAAAGAGTGGCAGTATTTGTGTTTCCTAGTTCAAAATGTCCCTGAAGTTTGGCTTTCCATTGGTGATAGAAGACGGCCAAGGTAAAGAAACCAGAGTGAAAATGCTTCAGTTTTTTCTCGGAATCGAACCCTAATTCCCCATTAACCAAATTCAAAGGCCTGACCTAACTTAAACATGGCTTACTTATAACACAATATATTATACTATATAATGAGTAAAGTTAAATAATTGAAAGGTGATGGATGATAATTCTATGACTTAGTGGCACAGGCTAAGTACATGATTGAACCCCTCTTCTCAGCCAAGATTGAAGATATTTTAAGCCCTAGTTAATGGAGACAGAAAAATAATATAGGGAAATATTTATTATTCTAAAACTTAGGTCTTTACATTTTATAGTGTAAGATTTATATATGTATATTTGTGTGTGTATATGTGTATAATACTATTCTAATTATAATAATAAATGGTCCATTTGAGTATATAATTAGAGGTTTTTACCCCAATTAATATACTATCTCGAGGGGAGGTACTAACATTTGACATTGTGCTTTTTGTTCTGGATTCCTTTGTTCCCAGGTTTCCTACTATATATCTATTCTTCCTTTTTGATTTTCTTATTCTTGATTGAGGAGTGTCCTTGGAGGCTTTAGAGTTCTTCTCATTGGGCAACACTGTTTCTCCTCTTGTGTCATTTTAAGGTAAAGTTTTTAGACATGTTGTGGAGTGTGATTGTGTTAGTGTTGCTCTAGTCCTTAATATAATACTATCTTCAACTGCTGTGGGATGTCATTAAGCAGCTTCCTTTATTCCTGGTATCTTACCATCTGTTGCTAATGTAGAATGTGATCTTGACATCAACTAGATTATGCAATGGTTCTTTCGGTCACATTTAATCCTCTCTTAATCATAAAGCTCTAAATCCCAACATTGTGTGGGGAAGAGAGCAAAAGATCAATGTACATGAACTATGTAAAATCTCAAACTAGCTCTTGAATATATGTTTGCTGCTTGTCTAAAAGAAAGGCAATATCTATATGCACATGCTCTCCAATGTTTGTGGAAGAGATACCAAGATCAAAATGGCCTGGATTGCTAATGTTAGTGCTGCTCACAAGACTAAAAGTCCTTCAAAGCATAACTTTTTTTTTTGTTTGCTTAAACAAATCTGTAAGTGGATATACCTAAAATATGCTTGTATATTCTACAATATACTACCATCTAATAGTTGATATTCAATAAGATTAATCTTGTGTTTATAATTATAAACTTCCAATTGATCAATTAAATTAATAAATAGAAATAACATTATTATTAAACAAACTAAACGTTGCACAGCAAATTATTATGTATTCTTGGATGTGTTAAATAATAATTCCAAAAAATATTTTTTCATTGAGAATATCTAAAAACATCATACCAGAAGTATTGATTTGTTCTTTATATGCTGTAAGTATATTGTAGGATATTTTGAAATCCATTCTTCTAGCTGGTGAAGATGATAATAGCAACAGATATACCCACTAAGTTTCGTGATTTTACAAAACTACATAATCGAAAATCTATTTTATTTTGGGATGTGGGGTGACACCACTACAATCTCTGATGTTTGCAGCGTAGGTTCCCGGTGGTTCTTCAGCGCAACAAATGAGATCACAAACTTCAGTCGGCCGTCTGGCGTTCCAAATTCTCCAAATATGCAAACAGTGAAGGTAGAAAAAGGAAAAAAATCTCACCTTTGGATGGCCAGTAAAAAAGAAGGGGTTGCTTTTGCCATCTCCCTCTGATAAAATTCAAGACCATAATTATATAAATGCTTCACCTTTAGCAAGACCATCTGGCCATCCCATATGGCTCGACGGTGAAGCTGGGAATGAATGCGCAACTGGCTTCAATGTCCACAGTCGTCAAGGACGTGTGATTGTAGTGAGCCGACGAGTGCCATGTTGAATCCTTGAGGTTGTATGCAACCGGAGCATACCCGTACGAGGACTTACACAACTCTGTGAAAACGATAATTGTGCTCCCAACAAGCAGCGTCGAGGTATATAGCAACATCTCTCTCGGCTTCCAATTCTTGCCATACAGCTCCCCATACCGCTTGCTTGACAAAAGCTTCGCTTTTCCTTCTCGACAGTCCAGCTCCCAGATAACCACACACCCACAAGAATGCGTGACGAAGAAAATCCTGTCTTTCCACCTCCAAACTCCACAATGGGCAGTGTCGTTGGCATACTCCTTGTAGATGTAACCATTGTTGAAAGTTGGCTCACCAACGAAGTGCTTGTGACAAGACCAGGCCATGGAATCGGGATTGTAGGCCATGAGAAAGTATGGCGGGTAATCCAGGCCCGCGCTTCCAATCACGGCGCCATCGATCTTGGTATTTGCGCCGTCGTGCTCACCGATGAAGGGCACTGCCGACTTCCAAACCCGCGACTCGGAATCATACTGGCGCGCGTGATAGATCACTTCGTCGTCGTCACCATATTTATCGTAGATGAGAACCAGCTTGTAGGAACCTTTGGACGGATCAACCTGAAGATGTATCCTTTCCATGGTGTCGAGCGGACGAGAAGGGATATCGATTGGAGGCAGCCGTCTCCATTTGTTTGTCAGTGGATTTCCCACCACCAAATTCCACGCTGTGCCAGGCGCACGCCCCTCTTCTGGTAGCAATCCGCAAACCAGGCCGTGTGAAGAAGAAACTCCCATCGAGAAACATCCACGAGGCCCTGGATTCAATCCGGTAGATCTTCTTGCGCCGCTGCCCGGGTACCATACTTCTGTGTGGAAGCCGTCCTTTTGCTTGGCGCGCAAGACACAACAGACCTCGTCCCTTCCCTTCCATTGCTGGGCGAATTCCTGGGAAGCAATGGCGCTGTGCCAGGATCTACAAACGCATCGCAGCCTCCCCAGATCGTCAAGATCCACGCCCGCAAAGATCCGGAGCAAGAGATCTCGCGGTAGCCGCTCCATTCTGCCCTGATCCAGAGAGAAAATCCCAATTTTTATGCTTCTTCTCCTTCCCTTTCAGTTGCCCTAAAAGGAATGGCGAGACCTTTATAAAAATCACACTTTTGTGTTCTTGACGATGTGCTGACAATGTCGTAGCAGGCAATCGCGCGCTTGTGAATTGCCATATCCAACTTCTGCTAGACAGAGGCCGTGAGCAGGCGCTGGAGGAGCCGACGCTCGCCTGTCCGTTTCTTCCATGAGAGCTACCAAGGCGTCGTCGTTTGCCCCGGCGAAGGCTTCCTTGATCGCCGTGGACACTAAAACTCGCACCATCTATCAAACAAGCTACGTTAGAATGGAAGCGATGGAAAAAGATTTTCGTCGAGACAAACCTTTCTTAGAAACCTGTCCGCGACGAGCTCCACAACCATGACATTTTCCTGGGGAAAGCATCATCAAAACCAGTTTTTTCGAGCAAAACACGAGCAAACCTCGTTGGGAACTGGTAGCTTGGCGAGAGCAGCTCGAGCGTGGTAGAGTGTGCACACCGTAGCAGGCCCGCTGTTAGACAAAACAATAATTTCCTTTCTTAGCAGAGCTCTCGCAGCTTTTGTTTCCAAGGTTACCTGCTTCTGGCGATCTTTGTGTCGCGAGCGAAGATTGCGTATGACAAGCTGTGGCCTTCGAGACCTCGCAACAGCGTTGCCACTTTAGAAACATCAATCTCGTCCCTGCTGCGAAGCGGAAAAATGTAAATGTAGCGTCTCCACTTTGCAGAAAAAATGGGATGGAAGTCGCGGTCTACCTGCATAACATTTCTCATTTAGCAAACACAGCTCTTCAAGATAGAACTCACCTCGGACGCTGACACCGCTCGCAGGATTGTTGGCATGGCGGAGTTGACAGCAGATTTCACGTCTTCCTCTTTGCATTCTCTCATCCATGTATCTACAAACAGGATTTGGGAGAGAACAACTTAGAAAACTCTGGCGGACTGGAGTGAATTACCTTACAGAAGGAGCAAACTTGTCCACAAGCGTGAACACCTTTGTCAGTCCTCCCCGCGACTGAAACTAGAGCTTCTTTGATCTTTCCCTGTTTCTCCAGATTACTTGCTCTCTTTCCATCGACAAACCTCCCAAGTTGCTTCTCAAGAACACTGGAAATCTCTCCTTAAGCAAGCAAGCAGTGAAGAAGGGAAAACGAAAAATTCCACCTTTGGACAGTCAGGAAACCCGGTTGCTTTTGCCATCCTGCGAAAGCTGTGCCGCTGTAAGAAAGAACAATCTTAAATGTCCTCCTTTCCCACCTTCCTCCTCTCTCTTTGGAACGATCGACTATGGGAAGCGACTTATCCTCATCTTGCTGCTTGGTTTCCAAGCAGCGATCTTCAAATTTCTCCTGGAAATCCCTCTTAAATCTATCAAGATCCAGAAAAAAATGCTCACATTGTGCTCGATCCTCAGATCGCGAAGCCCGATCTGGCCATTCACAACGAGCTGATAGAACTTGAGCACGGAATCCCACGGCCGCTGCTCAAAGAACTCGTGGCAATCCCTGGAGCGACAAAAATTCTCATTCCAGCCCGACGCAGATAGCGCGCTTACCTCGCAGACCATCGTCGCTCCGCCATAGCTCTAGGAATTAGGGTTCTTTAAAAAAGTGGCTCACATGGCAATTACGCAAACACGTAGCAAGAACGAGCATACGTGGCAGATGACAAGGCGATTACGAAGCAAACACGTCAGCAAAAACGACCATACGTGGCAGCTGACAAGGACTCTTTTGCTCTTGCATACAGGCAAATTACTTTTGGGCCAAGCGTTCTTCCCGGCGAGCGATTTTCCTCTCGCGGGTGGCCTTGTTCTTGGCGCGCCTGGCCTCGAATTGATCCGTCAGGGTCTTCTCGCGGGCCTTCTCAGCCTTGAATTTGTGGATGTTCTCCATGAGCACGCGCTTGTTCTTGAAAACATTGCCCTTCACCTTCATGTACATGCTGTGGTACATATGCTTGTCGATCTTCTTCGCGTCGCGGTACTTGCGAAGGAGACGACGAAGAACTCGCATTCTTCGCAGCCAGACGATCTTGGATGGAAGCCGAGCTTCGCGAGTGCCGTGCCTCTTACCTGATCGGAGCAAAACCAGCAAAACCAGAGCGATCAATCGAGGGAAATCGAGCAAAAACGAGGAAGAACTTAGCATACCTTTGCCCGAGTGGCGACCCTTCCTCTTGGCCTCGAGCTCGCGGCGGGCGCGCGCGCGAGAGTGGATTTTCTGGGGCTTTTTTATCACCAAGCCATCCTTGACGAGCTTCCGGATGTTCTGCCCTGATTGAGCGTAACGATCAAACACGAGATAACACCCATCTTTCACTTGTTCTTACTGGAATTCGCCATGGAGATCTCGTTCACTTCATTGGGATCGAGCCACACCTTGTTCTTGCCGCACTTGAGGACCGCAGCCGCCAGGCGCTTCTGGAGAGTGAGCGCCACCATCGCTGCGAAGACCCTACTCGACCCTAAACTACGGAAACCCTAAACCATACATTCTTTATGCGCTAGATTCCCCCTTGTACGACGGTTGTCAATTTATGACCACGTGACCCAAAAGCTAATGTATGGAGCAAACCTGACCGACGACGAGCATTCCCCTGTTCAAAATCGCAGCGCATTTGGAGAGAGCTAGTTAGGGTTTAGGGTAAGGCGCAAGGGATGGAAGCTGCCGCCGCGGGGTGAATCGCGAGGAAATCTCCAGCAGCTTTGCTACTGCTGCCCTGCTGCTATTGTTGGTACTGTTCTTGGTGTTGGATCTGTCGTCGCGGCAGCGAGAAATGGATGAGAATCAGCGCTGGAATGGCACACAGCTTAATGCGTACAACACTGTGGTAGCAGCGAGTGGAATTAGGGCAGCCGGATCTGTGCCGCTGGGGGATTCCATGGCCGGGGACGACAATAATGCATCCAGCGTCACCAGGCAAAAGGTTGCTGCGGCCAAGCAGTACATTGAGAATCACTACAGGGCCAAGGCCAAGAGTTTGCAAGAACGAAGAGAAAGGTACCATCTCGCTGCTTTTTAATTTTTTAATCCAGTTCTCGTTTCAAAATCAAAGCTTTGCTTGCTAGGTCTGCGAGCTCAATCGCCGTGAATTGATTGTTTGATTGTTTGTTTATTTTTTTTCGTTAGGCGTTCTTTGCTCGAGAGAAACCTGGCAAATGCCGATGTTTCGGAAGAGGAACAGCATACACTTATCAAAGACCTTGAACGTAAGGAGACAGAGTACATGCGACGCCAGAGACATAAAATGGGCGTCGATGATTTTGAGTTGCTAACTATTATAGGGAGAGGAGCGTTTGGGGAGGTATGTTTTGGGCTTGGATCCTCTGGGTGTTCCTCACTGACTCAAGTCTTGTCTGTTCAGGTGAGACTGTGTCGACACAAAGAAAACGGCGAGATTTATGCCATGAAGAAGCTTAAGAAGTCCGAGATGCTTAGTAGAGGACAGGTAATTTGTTTTCCGTGTCCCTGCTCTACGTAACGCTAATGATCGTTTACAGGTGGAACATGTGAGAGCTGAAAGGAATTTGCTCGCGGAAGTTGATACTCACTGCATAGTGAAGCTGCACTACTCGTTTCAAGATGCCGAGTACCTATACCTCATCATGGAGTATCTACCGGGTGGTGATATGATGACGCTTCTTATGCGCAAGGACACGCTAACGGAGGACGAAGCTCGCTTCTATGTTGCGCAGAGCGTTTTGGCAATCGAGTCCATCCACAAACATAATTACATTCACAGGTGTGTTTTTTATTCGCCAGCTCTTGAAGTTCGCTGATTTTGTTTTCTGCAGGGACATTAAGCCCGACAATCTACTACTTGATAAGAACGGGCACATGAAACTTTCAGATTTTGGTCTTTGCAAGCCTCTCGATTGTAACACGCTCTCAACTTTGCACGAAAATGAGGAGGATGAGCCACGAGAACCGATGGACATAGATGAGCGCCTTGTAAGCCCATCAACCGGTAGTTCTTGGCGGAGTCAGCAAGAACAACTGTTACACTGGCAGAAGAACAGACGTATGCTGGTAATTTACAATCTATTTTTCTTACGTAAGAACAATACAGAGCTCAGTCACGTTGTAGGCCTTTTCAACGGTTGGTACACCCGATTACATTGCTCCGGAAGTGTTGCTTAAGAAGGGATATGGCATGGATTGCGACTGGTAAGAACAACTTCGTTCATTTAGTTGCTATCAAGTTTCCTTCAGGTGGTCATTAGGAGCAATCATGTTTGAGATGCTAGTTGGTTACCCTCCATTTTATTCAGATGAGCCCATGAATACCTGTCGTAAGGTAATATTTGCTTTACTCGTTTCGGTAACGTTGTATCCTTTCCTTTTCCGCAGATAGTGAACTGGAGAACACACCTGAAGTTTCCTCAAGAAGCGAGATTATCTCCAGAAGCCAAGGATCTTATTTGTAGGTTGCTGTGTGACGTTGAGCATAGGCTGGGGTCAAGAGACACAAACGAAATCAAGGCAATTATCTACCTCTACTTTTTCCAAAACCTTGTGAATGTTTTTAAACATGTCAATTTCAATCCAGGCACACCCGTTCTTTAGAGGAATCGACTGGGATCATCTTTATGAGGTCGAAGCAGCCTTTAAGCCAGAAGTAAATGGGGAACTTGACACGCAAAACTTTCAGAAGTTCGAAGAGGTTAAGTAATTGAAAGCATTTATTATCTCAAGGCTGACTTGGCAAACATTATGTACTTCTAGGCTGGAACTCAAGGTGATCTTCCCTCGAAGTCAGGACAGTGGCGCAAGGTTTGTCTGCTTGATTTCCGTGTATGGCTTTCTAGCTGACGCTCTATACTGCAGGATGTCAATTTTGTCGGGTATACATACAAGAACATTGATCTTTTCAAAGCTAAGAACTCTCCTGTTGGTAAGTTTTCTAGACACCCTACGTCCTTGCTCTAGCGATGTAGCTCATTCTTGTGTTTTTTTTTTTTCTTTTTTCCTGCAGAGCTAAGGAAGAGAAGCCAAAGTCCTTCGAGGCCGTCCATTGTCTCAATATTTGGTAACGTGACGGTTTCTATATAAACATGTCTTCTTCAACGCTTTTGTTGCAGAGAAAAACAACTCGTCAGACGAGATTAGCGACAGTGCTCCAACTGAAATGGAGGTGTCAACCATGGAAACCAGCGTTGTTCCGTCAAATCCTCCCTTACCCTGTCAACAGGCCCCGACGTTTTCATTTAGTAACGACACAAGATAGCTGTATAGAGCCCTTTCGTTTACTGGGATCCATAGGTACGGTACTCAGGTGAGGATCTATAGGAAGAAGGTAAAAAACAGGGACAAGAGAGAAAGAGAACAGGAAGGGGGGATCTTTTCCTCTCAAGTTATAGCTCGCCAGGCAGCAAAGGGAAAGGGAAGAAGTGACATAAAAAGTAATAGCTAGCTATAGCTAGAATGGCAGCTCGGGCCTTGGGCTATGCAGTGCGCGGTACCGTCTTCGTCTTCCACCACTCAATCCGTCAGCGGCACCAATAAAGCCTTTGGTTGGCACAATTACCGCAGCGATCCACAAGAAGAAGGAAAAGACTTCCAGCTTTGTATAAACTGTGGAAGCTCACAGGGACGTCAGTGGCGGAGCACTGGATCTGGAGCACAGGACAGGGAAGCGTAAAGTTTTGTGTAGCAGCGGCAACAACGAGATCGATCATCGATCAATCAATCAAGAACTAGAAGATCAAAGAGGACAGTGGGGTCAATTTGGACAGCTGCTACTACTGCTGCGTGCTGCTGCGATGATCCTACTTTTTTGGCTGCTACCACTTTTCTTTCGCGACCAACAAGCACGGCTTTTCGGACAGACTCTGTGGAGAAGAGCTGGCGTCATGGTGTGACGAGATTCATTGTAGTATGATATTTTTTTCTCTCTTATCTTCCTCTTGGGATTTCTAAAACTGTCAAGCGAGATGGCGCGAAGATTCAAATTCAAATTCAAAACGATGCCGAATATGCCGTTCACACGTGGCGGGCATCGGACGGTGTTGCCCTCGCATTCAGCGCCAAAACACTCTTCATTAAAAAAGAGCGACGTTTTCGTTGTCAAGAACCCTAGCGAGCGAGCGATCGGTGATGGCGCGATGGAGCGAATCAGGGGCGGGCGAGGCGCTGGCGCAGCAGCTGCCGCGACGTCGCCATCGATTCTTTGTCGGCGCCATGTGGTAAATAGCTCTTTTGGCCGATTTTTCAAGCTGCCGCGCTGCCGCGCTGCTGCAAGCCTGATTTCCTGCCTTTGTCGTCTCTGATCGCCTCTGATCGCCTCTCCATCGCGTCTGATCGCATCGCATTTAAGAGATTTCTTTGTTTGCACGCCCCTGGAAGCCTTAAGCCTTAAGCTCTTCCCTCTCCTCCCTTTTACATCACAGGTCGCGCATGCAGTACGACGATAATTTGGCATCTTTCTTGTAAAAAGCCATAGCTTCGATCGGTCTGTTCCTGTTTGTCTGATGGATCTGGTGCGCTCTGGCATCGCCCTCTCTCTGTGCTGCCAGTTTTCACATAGCTATGTGACTTATGTTGCCTGCAAGGAAATATTCTAACTTCTAAGCTGATGATCCTGATCACCTCTTTGCGGTACACTAGCGCCCCCAGTAGTCCAATCATCCTTGCTAGCGATTCGCACGGATCATAATTCTCGCCTTGCACTTCTCCCTTTATTGCTGCCTGAGTGAGAGCCAACTTGGTAGCTCTCTCTAACCATACCTTTTCCAGAGCCAAGGAAAAGTAGTTTGTTCTAGTTGGACTGGGCTTCTGTCTGGCCGGCTGGCTGGAACTGGTTCCTTTCTTCTATCCTTTAAGCTCTCGTTTCGCACCGTTTGGTTCTTTTGTCTAGCTCCTCATTTCTGAAAAAAAGATCGTATATTTCCTCCATCGTGTCTGAATGGGACGTGAAACAGTGTAGTCGATAGAAGAAGAGATGGAAAAAAGTACATCTTGGTTTCATGGTCCCCGCACTCGCCATTAGTGGTGATGGCTTGCTGTTGAAACTACAGAAGGACTGACTTGATTCGAAGCTTGTGTATGTTTTAAATTCCTCTGGTGCCAGGACGTTTCTTTTCTCTAAATGTGATAGGCAGATCAAGACGTTCTTCTCGACTCCAATTTAGCCGATCCAGTTCCTTGCAAGTTGCAAGCATATATGATGCTTTCTCACTATAGAGTTTTCTCTTACGGGACGGCCCAACCTGCAAGACTGCTCCAGTTGTGAGTATATATAGGTGTATCTTTTTCTGCGAGAACGATTTTTAATCCCTTCACAATTGTGCAGCGGAAAATTCCGAAAGACGAGAGGAATGTGTCAACTATATTCCCAGAAAACCAGATGTCAAGCGTGCTGCCGCGGCTCAGCTGGTGAGGGAGGGGATCGCCATGTTTAGACATGAGTGATGAACGGAGACAACTGGAACGTACAGTTGAATCTTCATCAAAGGCACACGAATCTGAGAGCAGCAAGACGAGGAAACCCCAAGGAGGAGGACAGGGACGAGGAGAAGGAGGAGAAGAAGAAGCCGAGCAATTGGAAACAGCCAAGACATCGTCACTGCGAGTCCGATCGACAAGAACATCGCCAAGTCAAACGACGAAAGCACGGACAACCAAGTCTGGTGGAAAGGATCGGCACAGTAAAGTCAATACAGCTAGAGGCCCGAGGGACAGGCGAGTGAGGCTGTCCGTTTCTACGGCAATCCAGTTCTACGACATCCAGGATAGGCTCGGCTATGATCAGCCCAGCAAGGCTATAGAGTGGCTCCTCAAGAAAGCAAAGCCGGCTATCGACGAGCTCAACCAGCTCCCACCGGCTCCGCTCTCAATTGGACGTGCAAGCTCGATAACCCCATCCAAGGACGAGAATTCTCAATCCACAAGTCAAGCGCAGGCTGGTTTCACTTCCACTACCGCTGCCGCCGCTGGAGAAACTTTCAATCCGTATCACTTCCAGCCAGAGCAATCGTCTTCCGCTTTAGCAGCACGGCAGGAGAGTCATGCGTGGAAGCTCGAACAATTTCGCCATGCTCACGACTCGAGAGAAGATTCCAGGCTGAAGGCACGGGAACGAAAGCCGAGCTCGAGTAGCGCGCACGCAACGGAAGAATCACATCACCAACATCAGCACCACGAACAACTTACTTCTTTCCTTCATCAAAGCACCGTGTTTGACACGACGCCATCGTACACCTACAACAACAGCACTAGCAGCAGCAGCAGCAGCAGCAACATCATCAACACTCCAATGCGCTCGTCCTTCACGCAGCTTCTCCAGTCGCCACTCCCCAACCCGCTGCAAAGCTTCATCCAGAGCTCGTCGCATCATCAGCTCCTTCAGAACCAGTTCCTCAACACGCTGCAGGGGCTCTATCTCCCGGCTCCATCTCTAGGCCCGCTTCATCACTCGTTCCAGCAAGAGATCGCCGAGGCTGCCGCAACATCACAGCTGGGAGGAGGAACAGGTTCACTCCATTCTTTTCACCATCATAACTCTCCTCTTGTCCAGGTTCCAAGCGGCAGTCACGGCTCTCTCGTAAACCAGCAGTGGCCATCGCCGGGAGTGATGAATCCACTCCAAGTTTCATATGGTCGGGGCAGCTTGCTCTCCAGTCTCACTACTTCGGCAGCTTTCACCTCCGACATCGTCTCCTCCCGGCAACGCAAACAAGTCGACATGGACTATAGCCTCTCCTCGAGGCCGGCCATGGCTTCGTCTCCTCGAGTTTATAGTTTGGTACCAGCGCGGATTCAAGGCCTGGACGATGACGACGACATGGATCAACAACAACGACGGCAGTCACAAACCGAGAACTGAATCAAGAAAAATGGGGGAAAACGAGAGATAAGTGATTCCTTTTTTTTTCGATTCGCTTGGTTCTGTTTTTTCTGGGGAAATGTGCTTCCCCTGTTTACAGGAAGATTATAAAAACTCGAGAAAAAAGAACGAAAAAAAGAATAGAGAAAGAGTTCCACTAGTTTGTCCTTCCAGGACAAAAGCGAAGAGAAGAAAAAAGCTCACCGTGTCATTGATTGGGGGAGAGAGACAAAGATGTACAAAGTGAGACAAGGTGTACGGAGGCAATAAAAAAGAAAGAAAGAGGGGTTCTATGTACGGCCTTCTCTTCGAAGAGATCTCTAAGAGAAAGGAGGAAACGAGGAAACCAGGGAGAGACAAGGAAAAGAAAAATGGAGAACGAACAACAAAACTGGCGCAACCATTCCGTTCTCTAGGTTCTTTCTTCTTCGCTTCAGTCTCTTTTTTCTTTTTTTTTCGGTGAAGGAGGTTACCTGGCATTACGTCCATAGGCAAGAGCGTGGTGATTTGCAGTAACTCCTCCTCCTGGTTGCTGGTGATACATTCGTAGCCTCGAGGGTGATGAGACATTCTTGTTGCCTGTTACTAGCAATGTGGCTTTGTCCGGCGGCGATGACGGAGGTTGTGTGGAGGCAAAGGACATGAAGCTTCCACCGCCGCTACTGTTGGTGGCGGTGGCGCTGGTGTTGCTATCCTCGCTATACACTCCAGGGCTCTCCTCTGGCAACACAAACAGAGGCCTCGTCAGCTTTGTGCGTTTGTTGTTGCCACTTTGTCTCTATGTACTTCAAACGGGCTTACCAAAAAGCGTCTTGATTGATGGCCTTTTGGACTTTCCTTTCTTCCGCAGCTCCGCTGTGTCGAGCAATTGCGAGGGAGTAAGAAACTGGAAGAGATAAAAGAGGTGACATTGACGTACCAACACCGGGCAATTGCGAGTCTTGGATGATCTCGAAGTTCTTGTACGTGTAGCCAACAAAGTTGACGTCCTTGGAAGGAAGCATCTAAAGAATCGAGGAAGTAAATAACACTTTGTAGCTTTGCCGAATGATTCAACGCGAAGTACTTACCTTTCTCCATGGGCCAGCCTTGGAAGACGACTGTGTTTGGCCGATGGCCTACAAGACAAAAACTTACGTGAGACGTTTTAACTCTAGCTTCGAGATGCTCACCTCTTCAAACTTTTCGAAGTTTTGTGTGTCCAGCTCATTGTTAACCTCGGGCTTGAACGCGGCCTCCATTTCGTAAAGCTTATCCCACTCAACGCCTTTGAACCAGGAATGCGACTGCAATTTACCACCGACAGCTATAAGGAACCTACGCGCCTATGAAACAGAAAAAGAAGACGCACCTTAATCTCGTGTGTTCCTTTTGTTCCAAGTCGTTGGTCGACACCGCAAAGCAAACGACTCATCAAATCCCGTGCCTCGACAGACAACTTAGCCTCGTCGGGAAATTTCAGGTGCGTTCTCCAGTTTACAATCTATGACAACAAGACCATTAGAAATCCTTCCATGCTCTACAAAATCATCTACCTTTCTGCAGGTGAACATGGGCTCGTCCGAATAGAATGGCGGGAATCCCACTAGCATTTCATACAAAATGGCTCCCAGCGACCACCTGAACAAACCAGAAACAAGTATTATAAGAATTTTAAAATGCGCACGAACTTAGTACCAATCACACTCCATGCCATATCCTTTTTTTAATAAAACTTCAGGTGCAATATAGTCTGGAGTTCCCACAGTTGAGTATGCCTGGAATCCAGGCACACGACAAGTCAGAACTTTCACCATATAGACAAGACTATTAGGATTTCCTTACCAGCATGCGTCTGTTTCTTTGCCAGTGTTGAAGTTGCTCCTGCTGAGTACGTCTCGGTGCGGGACTAGAGGTGCGCCTATTAGCGTCCAAACCATCTCTTTGATTCTTGTCTGTGGAAAGGTCGTTTTCCCGTAGCATGGGAAAGTTGCTGCAATCCAGCGGCTTGCAGAGACCAAAGTCAGAAAGCTTGAGATGGCCATTCTTATCGAGGAGTAGATTGTCAGGCTTGATATCCCTGCCGACGGAATCGTGTCAGCAAAAGCACAATCAAAAGACAATAGAAGTTGAAGTAACACCTGTGAATGTATTTGTGCTTGTGAATGGACTCAATAGCTAGAACCGCTTCCGCAATGTAAAACTTCGCTTCGTTCTCTGTCAGCGTATCCTTCCGCATCAAGAGTGTCATCATATCACCGCCAGGAAGATACTCCATGATCAGATAAAGGTATTCGTCGTCTTGGAAAGAACAGTACAGCTTAACTATGTAGTTACTGTCGACTTCAGCGAGGAGATTTCTCTCTGCCTTCACATGCTCGACCTGGAATATTAAAATCGTAAGCACTTGAATATGTTGGTAAAAAGCAAAGATCATACCTGGCCCCTTCGCAGCATCTCCGATTTCTTGAGTTTTTTCATGGCATAGACATATCCTGTTGATTTCTCTCTGCAGAGCCGGACCTGCATTCACAGATTTGTACACTAGCTTACAAACCAATCCATGCGAAAAAGCCAATGCACTTACTTCTCCAAAAGCTCCTCTGCCAATTATCGTCAAAAGCTCAAAGTCGTCCACTCCCATCTTACGTCTCTGCAGCCTCATATACTCCGTCTCCTTCTTCTCCCAGTCTTTGATTAGGTGGTTCTGCTCCTCGGGAGAAACATTTGCATCCTGGAGCTTTCTTTCGAGCACCCATCGCCTAAACCAATCAGAAGGAAAGCAAAAAGGTATAGAAAAACCCAGAAGAAAGTACACAGAAAAATTTTTTCAAGCACACGAACACCACCATACCTCTCCTTACGTTCCTCGAGATTCTTCAATTGCGATTTGTAGTGGTTCTCGATGTACTGCTTGGCAGCCGCGACCTTTTGCTTGGTAACATTCGATGGGGCTTCTTCCATCACTGCCGGCTTTGGAATGCTCTCGGCGGCACCATTTTTGCCATACTTGCCCAAAACTAAAGGCTTGGATTTCTCTACCTTGGGCTGAGCATGGAAGCGGCTAAACCACCCCTTACCCCCTTCCATTCTTTCCCGATCGACACCTGGGCTAGCTAAAGACCTGTTCTTCCCAATCCCTGATATTTAGCCTTACTTTGACTAGATCGATCGCTCCCAAGAACGCCAGAGCAATGGGGATCGTTCCCCGGCAGCCACGCCGATACATTTGCAATCCCCTACTGGATCGCCACAGTATCGGCAATCCGACAATTCGTTGCCGCCATAGCCTGCCTCCCGCACAACGAAATTTCCCACAGATCGGGCGGCGCCAAGACGAGACCGACACGCTAGAATGCCGGCACGATCGCCCTCAGCTCCACCGCGCACAGCGCTCCAAAACGCGTTCCCCCGTACACATCACTGCCCGGAATGCGTGCCACTGGAATCCGCGAGCGCAATCCAATGCTACAGTGCCGATCGAGCGATCGCCGGCGAAGAGGAAGGAAAGAATCGAGAAACCCTAGCTCTAGGACGCCGCGCCAGGGGAGGCCTTGACGCTCCAACAAAAGAGAAGCAACGAAGAATACGTGGTGTTTTACCGGGTTTGCGTTCGTACGGACGAGCGTACCAGCGTGGCAGCATCGCGGCCGTCGGTGCTGCCACCCACGTACCGCGTGACGCCGGCAATGAAGGAGCATTTACGTGGTAGAGCTGCCGTCGATCAGCGCGATCCAGCGGCGGCAATTGGTCCAAGTGTTACGAATTTTCTTGGTGTTTAGAAATCGCTTTGGATTATATTTCTCGATATTTACACTTAGGTGTTCCCAATCCCATGGAGAAATCTTTGCGGCGCAAGTTCTTGTGGATTGTCTCATTGTTTCTACTGATTTTACTTTGGATCGGCTACCCAAGTGATAGATGCGTGCTCAATTTCTCCACTGGGGCGGTCAACTTTAGCAAAACGCATCAAGAAAGAGTGAGATTTCAGGTGGATCTTTGGAGCGAGACCTTGCATGGAGTGATGAACAAGAGCACCAATCTAGATCTCGATTCACTCTCTTATGCTCCTCACATCCAAGATTGCAAAAGGTCTGGGCAATTGCATGCTAAGTTAGATGGTCGTGGAGAGAATGGGAAATGGCCCCCTTGGAGCCTGTCCCAGGGATCAAACCTTGATAGCAGCGAGGTGGAGATTATAATGGATCAAATGTTCTACATCAACAAAACAGTTCCCAGTCTCAATATTCCTTGGGTATATAAATCTATTGATTTGTTCTTAAAATGATATAACTTTGGAACTTTCTTTTTCCTAGATTCTTGGTGGTGATGAGGAGAATCTCCCATTGACAAGGCTTGTCCAGCATGATTTGTGGCTGAATCAACACCCCAAAGATTGCAGCAACGCAAGGTTTCTTATGGCGGACTGGTTTAGCGAGAAAGCACCCAACTCCATCGGCGTTGGCTCGGAGCTTGTGTACCTCTCGGCTATGTTCTCGATGGCTGTCATGCAAAAGAGGGTCTTGGTGACCAAGGCGTATCACGGTGCAAATCACTCGGGATGTTTGGGTATAATATCATTTCATCTTGAGGTTGAGAATCTTGTTTGTGATCTTATAGGATTCGATCATACAAGATGGTCTTGTTATTTCGTTCCTGAGGCTTCGAGTGAATGCATTGCCCGGGCTTTGGAGCTTTCTTCGCGAAAGGAATCTTGGGATCAAGGCCTTCTTATAGATTTTGATTATAATCATGGATGGTTTGTTCCAAGGTTCGTAGTATTTTAAAGTCGCTTCTACAATGTTTTCCTCTTTCCTGCTGTGAAGGTTGTGGGGCGAGCCTTGGAAAAGAATCCAACCATCTGTGGAACTCAATGGGATTCTCATGCAAGATGTTAATGGTAACAACGAAAGAAGGTGGTGGAGGGCTCAGGTTTACTAACAACTTAAAATTTCATTAATTTATACTAAAAGTATGTTTCAGGTGTTTCGATATCTCATGCGTTTCCCGAGCGAGTATCTTTGCAATCTACTAAACGTAGCCCGGAATGAGGCATTTGGAGAGGCAGCAGCAAGATTGATACTAAAGAATTATCCACAAGGCAATTGGAACTCTAACAATCATAGCTCTCATAGTGAGAGTCCCATGGAAGCAAATGTTTGGAGCAGCTATGGACCATGGATTCCACGGCCTTTAGTGAGCATTCACGTGAGGCAAGGAGATAAAAACATCGATATGGAAGTCCACCCCTTTAAAGACTACATGAAACTCGCCACCAGGCTGCGTAAGAAATTCCCACATATAACTGGTGTGTGGCTTTCAACAGAAATGCAGGTAAAAAGTCCCTATCGGATTTTTTTTTTTTCATTTTGTTTTTCTAGAGTGTAATTGACGAAAGCAGGGAGTATGAAGGATGGAACTTTTTCTTCACAGATATAAAGAGACAAGTTGGAGGAATACGCATGGCCGAGTACATGGCTTCACTGGGAAAGAGGAAAAATTTTGAGAATAGTTATGTCAATCTCTTGATGGCTGCTGACTGTGATTTCTTTGTGGGGGTTTTGGGGTCAACTTGGAGCTATGCCATTGACTGCTTGAGGATGACCAGCGGAAAAGTCAAGGCTGGCTTCCTCACGGTCAACCCCGTAAATATGTTTCTGCGCTAATTCAAAGAAGAAAACCAAGAGAAAAAACAATCCCACTCACAAGAGCTTCTTCAATAGGGCTAGCCCAGGGATGATTACTGGGAAAGTTGTTCGCTTCCAATCCTGTGTGAGAGAGGCTGTCAGGAGAAAAGTTCGCCAGCTATGATCTTGCTACAGCAGCTATGATAGTTCGCCAGTTCTCGATTGCCATAGCAAGATCAATAACCAAAGCTCAAAAATATAAAGCATAAACTTAGTTATAGAATATTAACACTAGGAAAGCCATCCTGTTCCTGGATAGCTTCCATCCTGTGAACAGTCTCCTCAACATTCTTATTGATTTGTGACTGTTAGTGACTATACTGGCCCTGGTGTGTGGAGCAAAAGAAGACGTCTGGGTGCGTCTTGCGTGCCATTTCCATGGTGGATCGATGATTAAAACTCGCTTGAGGCCGCAAGCGCACTGTGCATGTCTAGCTGCGATGACTGCATTGCCAAAAACGCAGAATCCCATGGGGCCTGCCGGGACTGCGTGGTGGCCTGAAGGTCGGATCAAAGCAAATCCAACTGGGGGCCTTGGACCACACACACTCATCTGGAAAAGAACGAAGAAAAAACATTCTCAGGAAGGAGTTATGCAAAAGAGCCTTTGGATTAGTAGGGAAGTCGACCACCACTGCAAGCACGGATTCTTCGTATGTCTTTCAAGCATTGTTAAAAGCTTGTAGGAAGTATAAGGGAACTTGAAACTGTTTGCAAATACTGTGGAAGTCTACTAAGTGGGACCACTTCTTTCAATGAAGATGAGACTACGGCCTTTGCCATGGCCAATATGCACACAACACCACATCAATATATGTCAATTCTAAACCATTCATTTATCTACAATATAAATATCTATAATAATAAGGAGTTGTTAAACTTTTTGGGCTGTCAAATTGACTGTAGGGTAATCTGGTAAATATCACTTTTTTACTGTAATGAGTGTGTGACACGGCCCAAGTTGGGGGA